AAAGATTTAGAAAATAATAATCATAAAAATTCATCAAATGCATGCGCTGTTTTTGACAAAGCAGCTTAAATTCTCAGGCTAATATGTCTCCTTTTTTCTGGGCCAAAATGGGACTCAGTTAGCTTGGGGTTCTTCCAGCTCAGGAACTCTATATCCAAGTATTAAAGAGTGCGTGGCATTCCAGCAGACCTCACTGGCTGAAGCACAGGTAACAGGCACAACTTGCAGCATTCCTCATGGTGCTCTGAATTGTATTATGTCCTTAACTAGCCTCTGGCTAACTCCTGAATTGGGAAACCAGGAGGTTAATACAAAACATTCATTCCCCTGTTCCAGTTCAGTTTGGAGAACACCCTGACTAAACCAAACAACATCATTCACTGTTTTTGTAGGTGAATGAAGCTGGTTCACTTATGCTGGCACTTAAAATATAATATTTGGAGCATATTTTAATACATTTTCCATTATATATTGATAAAACACCCGTGCCATAGATTTGAGCACCAATCTATACCCATAATTAAGAGATCAGGAAATATAGGATAGAAAAACAGGTGACTTTTTTTAGGAATTGAGTAGGCATGGTGGTAGATCGCTTTTTTTATAACCTGACATAAGTTTTTATTTTAATATGACCCAGAATTAGATTATTTGAATATAGTTAAAACTCATGTGGTACTGTTGGCCTTTAGCAAAGAAAGCCTTCAAGATGAAGTAATGTTGAATATGTAATTAATCCTCATGTATCTGACCAACATGGAGTCTCCATGGCCATTGTATGGTTTGCCATTCATGAAGAAGGTTTGTAGAGTTTCTTTTCCACATTCAAGGGGAATTCTTTACAACCATATATGTACTTCATTTATTAAAAGGCAGTAATAATACTAAATGGCTTTGTTACAAATAGCACCCTTGTATTCAACACTCTTGTTTCTTGTGTGCTAGAGTTTTCAGCAGGTTCCTATCATTGGAATTAACTTTAAGCCTGTTAGTTTGCTGTGATACAAGTTCCAGTCTTTTCTAGAAGTATGGTTAGTACTTGGACCAAGTCCAACACTTAAGGCAACAGATTCATGCTTCCTAGCTACTTTAAATACCTGGATTGTGAGGGAGATGGAGGCATTGCTTATTGATAGCTTTCAGTTTTGTAACGTGCAGCAAATTATTCTCCAAATATATAGTTGGCAAATTGTCCTTTTAGACACTGTAATATGACTGATCTGTCAACTGCGAGCAAATGCAAGTTCTCTTGGGGTTCATTGTGGTATGCAGCCTATCTTAGTCGGATGTATTCTAGACTTTTTTCCAGCGTAAGTCACATCCCCTAAAATAGTTATGTAATATTATCAATTGCTTTATTTTGTATCTGTGACTGATGGCATGAATCGTGGAAGAAGAGAAGCACAAACTACCATGCAGAGAATCCTGTTTCAAGGCCTGAACTAGTTTGTTTCTCCACTATGTCACTGTAGACTATTATAGGGGCAGTTGTCTTCTCTTTTGCAAGTGGAAGTTGAAAATAATGTAAGGAGCTCCAGAAGAATGTATTATACCATTTCTGAAGGTCTCACAGATAACATATCTGAGTAGGATCCTCTGACTGAAAAGATGGAGCATTGTACAACGTTCTTGAGGGGGAAAGGTAGAGATAAAAAAAGAAAGGAGAGATAAAAAGAGGAACTGCCAAAGGCTCATAAAGTCCTTATTTTCTGTCACGAGGACTTCAAGTTGTGGTCTTTGTGAGTACTGACAAGACTTGAGCAGAGGCTGTGCCCTGTGAGGGCGTGTCCAGAGGGAAGGCAGTAAGGGGTGAGGAGCTTATGTACTACCAAAGTAAAAGTTTCAAATGAAGAAGTGAAAAGATGCCAATGTGGGACTCTACTCAAAGGATAGAAACTTAAGCTTCTTTTTGCTCTATTAAAAAGATATGTTCAGTCTTTAAGCAAGTAGTTTTGTATTATAATCTTATGTCTGGTGGGTTTCTCTTTTCAGCCACACTGTGTACTACTTGCCTCAAAGGAAAACTCAGCACCTGTAAAGCTTGGTGGTTTTGGGGTAGCTATTCAATTAGGGGAGTCTGGACTAGTTGCTGGAGGTAAGAAATTTATCTTGTATTTTGCCTTCAATACCACAATCTACACTATGTACTATAGTACAAGAAAAATATTGTACATTTCCAAGAGGAGCCCTATAAAATTAAAAATTTGCAAACATCTTGGCACACAATTCTTGCATTAAAAGAATTTCATGACATTTATAATATGCACATGATCAATCTAAATTGATAATTTGTCAGTAGTATATGCTACATTTTTATGTAAGTTAAAACATTAATGAAATTCCCTTAAAATGACTGAATTGAAGTTAAACTGACTTGGTCGAAGTATAACTGAAAAATGCAGAAATACTTTAGTATGGTCCTTTCACCACAGTTGACAGACATAAAGAACCAAAACTGGCCTTGAAAACTAAATCCAAGGAAACTGAATTGAAGGTAACTAAAGCAACCTTAATGTGTTGTGCCATTGTAACAGGTACGGTTTTTTTATCTGAATACTCTATGCTATTAGGTGGTGTGATCACATTAGGTATAACTTCTGAAACCTTCTTATAAATTGTAATAATATGGTATGAGTATTGCATAAGATACCTATATCTTGATATGTATGTATATTCATTAACAGAATATATTTACATCTTTCTGTGAATTTTATTTCCTCTAGCTACCTTCCATATTGTTCCAGACAATAGGGTTATGCTTTATTCAGTCTACACAGATGAAGACCCAGTCTGTTTTTAATGACTTTATTGACAGGTTAGGGGATTGATACCATGGATTTTCCTTCTTCAGTAGGGGAGCAATTCCCTCTTCCCTCCAAGTTTAACAAACTGCTGCTTCAAATTTTTCTCCTTGAATTTTTTAATGGATCTGATTTCCATAAACTCCACTGATACCACTCTAAGAATACCAACAACTTTCAGTCTTTTGTGGACATGTCCAAGGTCCTTTTCTCTATATTTATCCTTCTGATCTAGCCATTGTTTTGAATGAGGAGATCACTCACATTTGTCCCAGGAATTTCATGTCTCTATGCTCTCCTGATTTTCCTCTTTTTAGCAGCTTCTTCTGCATCCCGTCTTTCTTCCTTTTTCAGTATATCTTTAGAGCTGGTTCTTCATTTTTTTCCTTCTCTCTGCTCTTTTACTAAGTGCCTTTATGGTACTTTTGCTCTTTCAGCTGCCATCACCATGCAGCTGGTTTTACACACCTGACTTCCTTTCACATGTTTCCACCTAGATGTCTCTCCACTACTTCAAGCTGAACCTAACAAAAACTGAGATTCTCCCAAAGCTGCTCTTTCC